AGGCGGGGGGGGGCGGGCGGGGGGGGGGGGGGGGGAGGCGAGGGGTGGGATGTGCCCTTCCCTCCCTCCATCCCAGGTGGCTTCGCCGCCGGGGTCCGCCATCCCCACCACGGGCACGTTGCGTCCTGCTCCACGAGCACCCCCTGCTCCCCAGCAAAGCCCGTCCCCATCACCCAGCGGGACCCTTGGTGCTTTCTTCCCCCCTCTCCTGACCAGGCAGGACGAATCGAGCGTATTTGGGTGGAGGAACGCCCTTGGACAGCAGGGCGGGGGGCTGTGGGTGTGCTGCCCGTATGCTGCCGGCACGCTGCCCACCAGCATCCCCGCGCGCCGTCGGCGCTTGCCCCCATTCACAGCCCGGAGCGGAGAAGGGCCATGGCAGCCATCTCCACAGCAGAGGCTCCTGCCGGATGGAGAGGCAAAGCAAGGGGCGGGGTGGGGGAAAGGCACAAATCTGCTTTCCTCCCTCTCCCGGGGAGGAAACCCACATCAAAACAGGTGATTTGGTAACCGCCATCCCAGGATGGGAGCAAGCGTGCCCACCAAAAACCAGCTGCGGCGAGGATGCCCGCAAAGCGAGCGGCGGCGCTGGGAGCAGCCTCCCCAGGTCAAATCCACGGTGCTTCTCAACCACATCACCGATGAGCCGGGTTTCCCACCTGGCTCTCCCTGGCAAGTCATTTTTCTGGGAGAGGGGCAACTCTTAATATTGTCTTTACAGGTTTTTGAGGGCGCGTCTGCAGTCAGGAGCAGGCGTCGCCGGGCAGCACGTCGGGAAAGGCTTTGCACGGCATTAAGGGCTTTATATTTACGCTTTATATTGGAGTGTAAACATTCAGCCGAGTATTTACCTTGCACCTGGCAAGGCTGCTGCGATAACAGTGCCGAGCGCCCGCCATGTCCCGGGGGCGCTGCAACCCCCCCCTAGGGCCGGTCCCCAATTTGTTCCTTAATTTAAATGCACCTTTACCATCAGGTATCTCCCATAAATACTCGGTTAGGGAACTTTGAGATGCCAGCCTCCATTAAACCCGGCATTTGCTGCCTTCGGCATCGAGGGCTGCTGGAGGAGGGGGGGAATGCTGGGGGGGCACAAGCCGTCCCACCGTGATGCTCTCCCACGGGGCAAAATCCCAATTAAACACATCGTCCATCGGCACGGAGGCAAGCCGCCTTCGGAGCGCTGCTGCGCCTAGAACAAGCCCTCGTGCCGTCGCTCCGGCACAACCTCGCTTC